AAAAATTCATATTACAAGAACACATTGGTATTGAAGGAACTAGATACTGTTCCGAAATATCACTTACTCGAACCGTCCTGACCGCGTAGCTCAGTTGGAAGAGCATTGGGCTAGTATTCCAAAGGTCGTAGGTTTAAATCCCACCGTGGCCGGGCATATTTTTCAAGCTCGCCCGGTGTGGATATGCACTCAGAGTAACATCACAAGCGTATTATTCACCTGAGTACACAACACCAGCACGGAAAAAATTCATATCACAAAATTAGTAATATTCCAAAGTTTCGTTGCAAAATGTTGTAAAATGCGGATAATATAGCCTTGCGAAGTTTGCAATTTTCTTTCATTTTAGATTACAAACGGAAATTGACAGCCCGATACGCTTTGAGGCTGTCAATTTTCCGTTTGTAATCTAAAATGACAGAAAATTGCAAATTTCGCAAGGCTATATTATCCGCATTTTACAATATTTCGCAACGAAACTTTGGAATATTACTAATTTTGTGATGCTCTTTCAAGCTGTGATAAAATTTTTGTCCACACTTGTTTAGATCTAAATTTTGTCTATTACGCAAATGGTCAATTGAGGTTTACCGTTTAGGATTATATATGTGTTAAACGCGAACATTTCGTTCGCTTGCCCGGACAATTTTCTTGTTTTGACAGTTTATTGCTCGCGGCGGCATCTTCATGCAGTTACAGCATTCCAGCTAGCTTGTCCATATATTAACGCTATTACGCTAAAAATGAAAACGTAAAGAAAACTAAAAATTTCATACCTATAGCGAGGTCAGCTCGCTTACTGGGCTGTCTTATGCGGGGTTGAGCCTAACTCACTCAAATCGCTTTGCTCGTCAGTTTCTTAATTAATATGTATGCATGCATGCATGCGTTAATTGATATTTATTCCTCGATACGAAGACAAATAAGGAATTAATGAACACCGTAATTAATATTTGCACTAAATTTGCAGTATTGCAAAGTTAAGGCAAATTAGTTACTACATTTGCTACTAATAATTCAACATGCGAATCTATATGCGACTATCTGTTGCCAAGCTGTTCCATTATATTTTCTGAAATTATCAAGGTGAAATCGATTGTGGTCTGGCCGGCTTAATTGTCAGCGACGAACGTGATTTATACCAATGGATCGATTTTATACCATTCGTGTGTTTCTAAATTTTCATTTTTCCATATGTACAATACTTTTATAATTAAAAATTTATACTATTTACACTAATGATATATTATATTTATAATGTCTGCCGCTTTTTATATAACTTTATAATAATATGATCGCCCGTGAATAGCGAAGCTTATTGGCAGTAGTCCGTGTGTTGTGACCCGATATCGTTCACTTTCATTAAGCATGTCTTAGAACTGAAATATTTTTACGGGAACTAACACTTTCGAACACGCTGAGTTCAAATCCGAAAAGTTCCCACTCCGTAGACCCGCAGTTTTTTCACAAAATGCTATTTTATCTTCACTAATTTCACAGCCAATTTTTTCATTGTTCAACGATATGGATCGATGACGATACAAGATTATGTCACTCAAAAGGACCAATTTCAATTAACAATTCTTCCTTTTAACAAAAGATCGGTTTTGCTCGAATCATTTTGAGTTATGCAATCTTATGCGTGTTGGACGTAAACAACATATTTTGTCTACAACGTTGAGAAGGTACAGATAACGCTTTCTAAAACCCTCAGTTCTAGAGATATCTCTATAAAATCACAAGGACATTAATGTCAAGTCTTTTAGCTATGTCACTGGCCAGAAAAGTAACTAATTTAACGCGATCGAGATATTTAAAACAAAATTAACGCAAAGCCAACGTAACGGCAAAGACAACGTTAAAACGAAATATTGTCGAATGCTTGCAGGTAGAAGACTTACGACAGGATCAATCTTAAATAACCTTAAGCTATAAGAATAAATGTTCACATCAAAGACAAAGACCAGTCACAACGTATAAAATATGCTCTGTAAACTTACCGCGAAGTGGAGAAATGTGTGCATGAGCTGTTTATTCGATGATTTCGACGAATATAGAAGCCCTCTTTCCAATAATACTCGCTTATCGCACAGTATAACACCAATTGATATAATAGTTCAAACGCAATGATAAGTTATCTCTTGAATTACATCTTGAAAACCGTGTTGGAAATTTCCATGCTGATCCATTACATATAGATTCCCGTTTTATATCTTTGTATAAAACATTTTGATCCCATGTAAGGAATTATTTCTCAGCCCAGAGACATAGCCCAAAGACTTGACATTAACGTCCTTTTGATTTTATAGAGATAGTTCCAGAACTAAGAATATTATAAAGAATTATCTGTACCTTCTCAAAGTTGTAGACAAGATATGTTGTTTACGTCCAACACGCATAAGATTACATAACTCAAAATGATTCGAGCAAAACCGGTGTTTTGTTAAAAGGAAGAATGGTTAATAGAAATTGGTCCTTTTGAGTGACATAATAGTGTATCGTCATCGATCCGTGACGTTGAACAATGAAAAAATTTGCTGTGAAATTAGTGAAGATAAAATAGCATTTTGTGAAAAAACTGCGGGTCTACGGAGTGGGAACTTTTCGGATTTGAACTCAGCGCGTTCGAAAGTGTTAGTTCCCGTAAAAATATTTCAGTTCTAAGACATGCTTAATGAAAGTGAACGATATCGGGTCACAACACACGGACTACTGCCAATAAGCTTCGCTATTCACGGGCGATCATATTATTATAAAGTTATATAAAAAGCGGCAGACATTATAAATATAATATATCATTAGTGTAAATAGTATAAATTTTTAATTATGAAAGTATTGTACATATGGAAAAATGAAAATTTAGAAACACACGAATGGTATAAAATCGATCCATTGGTATAAATCACGTTCGTCGCTGACAATTAAGCCGGCCAGACCACAATCGATTTCACCTTGATAATTTCAGAAAATATAATGGAACAGCTTGGCAACAGATAGTCGCATATAGATTCGCATGTTGAATTATTAGTAGCAAATGTAGTAACTAATTTGCCTTAACTTTGCAATACTGCAAATTTAGTGCAAATATTAATTACGGTGTTCATTAATTCCTTATTTGTCTTCGTATCGAGGAATAAATATCAATTAACGCATGCATGCATACATATTAATTAATCGGATTTGAACTCAGCGTGTTCGAAAGTGTTAGTTCCCGTAAAAGTATTTCAGTTCTAAGACATGCTTAATGAAAATTGTTTTCTAGGCACTTTTCGAGGTCACAACACACGGACTACAAAGCCGTTTTTCACTTTGCTTTTGTATATGGTACCGGATCAAAACAGTCCAGTTCTTGTATGTTCGGTTTGCGGGTTTATCTATCATGCAGCATTTACAAAAGACGTACTTTTAGGACGATGCAATGTTTTAATTTCCTCTTCCCCAAAAGTTCTGGAAACGTTAAACTGATATTCACACTCGTCGTGATAAATTTACCTTTTGAAACCAAAGGTAGAAGTAAAGAAATCTTTATATTCGCTTTAAATTCGCACATATGTGCAAATGTGTTGCAAAGATTATAACAAATTTGCATGCGTGCAAAGATGTGGGCAAATATGAAGCGAATTTATTTAGTTGCAAAGACGAATTCGCAATGGTTGCCAATTCACTTTACTAAATGCGCACCATATTTGCAACTATTGTAAATTTAGTGCGAATCTAATTTTTCATCCCGTGTATACTCGGACAATGGTCGCTCTTTTGTCGGAGCTGCATCGTGGATAAAGAAAGTAAGATCAAGTGAAAAGTTCAACGACTTCCTCGCTCACCAGGGAATAACTTGGCAATTCAATCTCAGCAAAGCGCCCTGGTGGGGAGGGCAATTTGAGCGTATGGTTGGGCTAGTAAAGGGAGCTCTAGGAAAGTCCATCGGGAAAAGTCTTCTGACGTTCACCGAACTTAAAGAAGTCCTGTTAGATGTCGAGGTCGCTTTAAATAACCGCCCCTTGTCGTATGTAGAAGATGATATCCAAATGCCCTTGATAACACCCGAAAGTATGATGCGTCCTCAGTCTAACTTGCTGCCAGAATTGGAACCACATCTCGAAGAAACCATACCATTAAGGGAAAGAGCGAAGTACATCAAAAAAGTAAAGATACGATGTGGAAACGCTGGACAAATGAGTATTTACGGGGTCTTCGAGAACGACATATTCTCAAATGCAGCAGATCATCCGGAACAGTGGAAAAAGGTGAAGTTGTGATCATAAAGGGTGACGAGAAAGACAGAAATCAATGGAAATTATGGATTGTGGAGAAAGTGTTGCCTGGTAAAGATGGTATTGTACGAGCAGTGAGACTTCGAGCGGGAAGAAACCAACTTGAAAGGCCGATACAGCACTTTTATCCGTTGGAGCTGAGCTGCGACATAGAAAGAAATACGAAGACGAAATTAAATCCGGAGATACCATCCTTTCGACCGAGAGGTAACGCAGCGGAGGTAGCGAAAGTTCGTATAAGTGACATTGCAGAAGATGAAAACAGTAACAGAACTGACGTTTAAGAGTTGAACTTATAGATTGATATTGATAATATTATTATAGGGTAATGCATGCAAAAAGTGTATTGAACACCTCCGGTGTTAAATAGGGGAGTGTGTTGGAAACAGACTATAAATAGGTTATGAACAAACACTAGATATGAACACGATATAAGGACATAATTAGTGTATGATTGACATTTAGCAAAAACAACATAGTAATACATTGCGAGCGAGAGAGAGAAATAGGCGTGTAAACATAATACAACATACGAAATAAAATCGAATAATTTGGCGATTAAAAACACAGAGAATTGTCGTGAAGGACGGTCCTTTTAGTAGAGCATTCCGACACTACATGTTACTGCTGTTTTCTATAAAAATAGAAGTATATACTTTATAAAAAAAACAGCAGTAACATGTACTAACATGTCGAAATTTTCATCATGTTGCTATATGTTACTGCTGTACATTATATAAAGTATACATACTAATAACTATAAAAAAAACATCACCAACTTGTTCAAATTATATAGTAAAACACAATAAATACATAGTAACATGTGCAGTAACATGTGCAGTAACATGAACAGTAACATGTGGTAACATGTGCAGTACCTATTATATCATATCTCACACTATTCCTTCTATAATAATTATAACGATTTACTGTTACAAGGAAATATTAAGCACTACTCTGTTACACAAGGGTGTACCGAACGAAGTATGTGCGGGTGTGACCCCCCCCCCCCAACCCCAATTCTTATAAAACTTGTCGGTAAAATGAGGATTATGTAGGAAAACCTGTGACCTGTTGGCAAATTAGTTGGTAAAATATAGTTGGTCGGTAAGGCGAAGAGGCTGTAGAGGAACACCCCCACCTCCCTCGATCCCCTTTGGGTCGATATGGTCTCTGTATGTCACGGCTGTTACAGTTGACATCAGTCATCAACAAATAGGGCAGACTATTATACTTTCCATAATAAGATACATTCATAGAAAAATTGCATGTCTTGTTATGCAGATGATTATTACCACACAAACTTCAACAGCATAGATGCAATGAAATTTCGGATATAATTTAGCTGTAGCAGCATAGTGAAACGGTCAAAATTAAGTACTTTGAGGTATTCCATCGCTAAACAGTTTGCCTAAATTTGCATAAATTATGATATAAAAAAATGTTGCAATTATGAATAAATGTCTCTACCGGTTCAAATTTCAAATATGTCAAAACATTTTCTGAACGTAACTGAAAGACACGGTTGTGATCTACAAGTACCTGAAGTTTCATGCATGTAGCATAAATGGAAGTTTTTTTATTGAATTTTTTAATAAACTATGTAGTTGAGTAAAATTTCCCTTTTGTGCTCACATGAAACAAATACCCTTGTCAAAGGTCCTTTTTTATTGCTGCAACATACTATCAATACAAATTTCTAATATTTCTTTCACTCCAAGGATAGTATGGCACCAATATAAGTCTGTGATACCCACAAAAAAAACACTCAAATCACTATTTGCAAAATTTCTTTATTTCTACGCTTACTACTAATATACATTCTTAGATAATCAGTACACCATTGACTTATATAGTTATCAGTGGCATAACTAGCCTAAAAATTTGGTCATGCTATTCAAATTTTAAATAATCATTACTCATTTCTTTAGAAATTGATTGTTTTCATAATCTAGAACATGACAATATTTGCATGACCAAGTGTTGTTGGGCTGGGATCATCATTAGTAGTTATAAAAAAGTAATGTTTTCCAATGCAGCAATGTTTGCCAAGGCACATAATTGGATTATGTGGTGAAAATATTTCCTTTTTTGCACAAAATATATATTGAACAGCAAAAAACCTAAGATTGTAACCAAACTTATATCACATCACCATGTCATACCCAAATCCATCCTACGATGAATCTCTGGACTTGTTCCTGTATAAATCACAAAGTCGCAATATAACCATTCGGACTGTCTCCAGCAACTCACAGATTTATCTCCCACATTAGTAGGCCATCTTTCATAAACTGCCTAATCCCCAACCTATTCCTTGATTTGACAGTGTGTTCGTCAACAGCAATTTTCTGTGATGGCTGGTACAGTTGTTGATGTAGTTTATTGCTGTAGTCTTCAATGACAGGATCTACCATATTCAGAAACTTTGCTTTACAGCACTTTGTACCTAAACCATGCAAGAAATTATTTATATTGCCCACAGACCATGATATAAGGTTTTTACATTCCAATAATTTTCAATCTCACTGCCCACCTTTACCAAACCTGCATATACTAAAAAGGCAATCAACCTCTCAATCTCCTCAAGGTTGGTGGACTCCAAGACCCTTCTTTATTAGTATATGGGGATAATTTTCACGCCTGGCAAAAAGTAGTCCAAAATCGCCAGAGGTGTTGTAACTTTTTCAATTTTCATTCTGATTGTACGAAATTTTCCATAAACATAGAACATATCATTCTTACAAATCATGTCGTTTTTGTTTTTGGATTTTTTATTTTTTGGCGGGAAAATGACGTCACAAACGTGGCGCCAAAAATTTAAATATTAGCAATGACTAATATTATTTATTTATTTGGAAGACCATGCTGTAGCAATCTTGAAACTGAAGTCTGTTTCGAAGTACGACCAGTCACTGCAAAGATAGAGTGATTCAAATTTCGAAAAATCCGCCATTTTGTTCTATTTTTAGTAACAAAATGGCCATTTTTCAAACTTTGAAACAGACTTCAGTTTCAAGATTGCTACAGCATGGTCTTCCAAATAAATAAATAATATTAGTCATTGCTAATTTTTAAATTTTTGGTGCCAAGTTTGTGACGTTATTTTCCCGCCAAAAATAAAAAATCCAAAAACAAAAACGACACGATTTGTAAGAATGATATGTTCTATGTTTGTGGAAAATTTCGTATAATCAGGATGAAAATTTAAAAAGTTACGACACCTCTGGGGATTTTGGACTACTTTTTGCCAGGCGTGTTTTGGGTTATTTGTATGTGGGCCTATGTATTGGTATGGCCAGGAAACTACCTCCTGAAGCATTCACTTAGTAAAAAAGAGCCGAGTAAACTCAAGCTCACAGTTCATTCTTCTGGTGAATGCTTGATCGAAATGGATCCCGGACATGTTGGGGAGGGGCAAAATCTGGGATAATATTACTAGTGTCAGGATCACCATATCCGTCACGTACTATGGGGCCCAGTGGCGGTGCTAGACAGGGAGATTTCAAAACCTTGGATCCTAGTGGCTGGGCTTACCTCTACTCATCCCCTACCTTCCCTCTACACTTACACGTTTTCCTAATGGGGGTTGGGGAGTGGGGTTCTCATGACTCTGAGAACTGCTACTTCCATGAGATGAAAAAGGAATAGCAGCTAGGAACAGGGTCAATATCTTCGTCACTGTAAATAAAAACGTTTTATAGACATAATCTATATGGTGCCACTTGAAATTATAATAAGAGCCAAACTAGTAAGATATAAGTATGAATACTTGGTCTATTATGTATGTAACAAACAACTAAACATGTGCTCAAAGCTCATTTTACTTTGCTTAGGAATCAGAGTTTTTTTATGCCTAAAACACCATAAATTTTCGACAACAATATAAATAAATACCATTTATATTTGTCAATGTCTGTATGGAAGGATTATTTCAACACAAAAATACGATATGAGGACATACTTGGTCGTTCTAGTGAAGCTATACTAAAACCAAATCAATTTACAACGCCATGGCAACGGCAAAACATTGAAATGGCATGTCTAAATATGATCAAAATACTTGCCATGAACTCCAGACACGACTCCCAATGCCAGGTTAAGTTACTTGTCTTTGTACGAAGATATTCCATCATTACTAGCACTATCAGTTTGCAAAATAAGACCAAGAACGTCTCGAGGATGCGATTCAAACAATACAATTACAACACAATACATTACAACGCTCGTGCGCGATAATCAGGAAAATTGCTCTAAAAGTTTGTTTTTCTGCCTAAGCCAATCAAAATCGGTATCTAGGGTAAACAAATACTCCGGAAGTGATTTCTGCAGTCTTTTACCGGCCAGGAAACTGTAATGCTTTACCAAGAATTTGGTGTCCGAAGTTGGCGGAACACTTTCCGAGCACGAGAATCGCCATAATAGGCATAGATTATTTCTCAATTTCCCGAGACTGCTCCGAGCTATAGAATGAAAGATGGCGATTCTTTCGATCTATTTATCTTTATTATACGATTCAAATAAGCAAAGATACAGGCATTTGAATCAGGTAGGATATTCAAAATGCAGCAGCAAAATTGGTAATCCGTCATTTGCATAAATTTCACCGCATTGATCATTTCAAGGTAAGAAATTATTATACGAATATTTCGGAATATATAGTTTCGATCAAGCGGAATTTTTTGGTGGTATTTTCGTAAATCTATCGCAAATACTCACGGAGTTCTTTCATATTTAATCTTCCCTTCATATACGTCGGAAATTAATATTGGCGGATTGAATTGAGTTAAATTAACATAGTGAAACGGTCAAAATTAAGTACTTTGAGGTATTCCATCGCTAAACAGTTTGCCCACACCCCCTGATGCCTTCCTCCCCCACCCCCCAAAAAAAAAAATTACACAATCACCTTGCACAAGGTAAATAAAATAATTTCAGTCAAAAAGAGAATCAGGTATTAAAATATAGTAATCTTTGTTTCGGGTCGAAAATTACTAAGTGCCGTACTTTTATAGACAATCATGGAAATGAATTCGTAGACTTTTCAAAAATGTCTCAATTCCCCCCCCCCCCCCC